ATTTTACTTTTTGCAGAAACGATTCATGGACTGCCCTCACTATCCAGTACCCAGTAAAAATGTCTAGGCGTCAGTGAGATGAAATTGGATCATTTTTGAAAAAACTGATTTTTTTTTCCGAAAATATGCGAGTTCCGTTGAATGTTGTTCGGTTTTAATGAATTAGAAATTATTTAGGATGGCCACATCATTCAGTGCTATATACTCGAAAAGAGTTTTTGAAACTCTTGCGACTGGTACTGCATAAGGTAAGGAATGATTGCTGCACTGTCATAAACCTGTTACATTACTGTCTATTTATTATGTATTTTACGATCACTTTTTAGATGAGATTCAAGGAACTCTTAGATAAGCTATAAGAGAAATTCGATTTCTCTCAAAGAGTTTTTTGCAAAAGCATCATTCGTTGACAGAAATTAGAAGAGGGATTCAATAATTTGTGAGCCAATGAAAAGATTTTAAACAGAGTTTCGATAAATCTTGCGTAGACCATTAGGTTACCTGGCCTTTCATTGAGACCCAGTCATAATTAGCGGTAAACGTGAGGATACTTATTTGAAGCTTATCTTTCCGCTCAGGTTTACAAATGTGGTTCGTTGGTTCGTCAATAATTTTTGAAAGAAATTAAACCTGGTCTGAATGCAAAGGTGTTTTTCGACTATATTATTTGCGAGAAAGAATATCCAATCACAGCATCGATATTTTCCGAACGTTTTGATAAATTCATCACGCCTTTTTGAAAAGTGATTCCATCTTTTGGATGGAAACAAATGAGCTCATAATTGTTTGATGAACTTTCGGTTGTTTCTTCGCAAACGAATTGGTTCAGATAAATGCCCAGAACCGATCAAAACCTATCAATGCCCATCATTTTCGATGTGAACGATGGTGAAAAAAAGCGTCATTTATTGAATTTCTTAGGCAGACGTTGGAATGAAAAAAAGGAATATTTGTTTAGAGTTTAATGAACTTTCACAGGAAGTTATTTCCTGAAAATGAAGAATTTTGCTTGCAGAATGCGACAAATGGATTTGTTTTCACTCAATGCTGGATATCCATCATCAAATGCAACGCCGATGATCATGAATGGTCAACAGGTCAATGCTCAACAGCAGGAAACGAACCGTTATGGTATCATTGCTATCGCTCTTAATAACAAATTCTCCCTGTTGAATTGTTACCATCTCGAACATCTACTGATAGAGACATATTTCCGAGCCATGCCTTCTGTCTTCCTCATCCGAATCACAACTCCCTCCTGCAATCAAGTGCTACTCATCAACGATGCTAGCGCACGCATGAGATTAATAGTTTATTACACTATTAAAGGCAACGCGAAAATACAATAGCACAAAAGCAGCCAGATCAGTTTAGAAAGCGTGACAAAATATGTGAATAAGATAAGAATAAGAATTTTCAGCTTGCAGTAATAGTGATGAACAAGTTCAAATTGGACATAAAAGATAAGATAAAACAAATATAAGATAGCAGTGTATTTGGTGAATCCCTTCAAATAAGTAATGCTCTTTTATAATTAAATATTTCCTTGTCTTCAACAAATGATTTAGGGTGATATAAGCAAAAGAATTTATTAAATGTACTTGATGAGCATGGGCGATGAATGCTAAAACGGAATCGTTTCTCGTGCTCGCCTGAGATCACAGGGATNTCTCGTCTCGTCTTTTTTGCCAATGAATCAACGAGGAATGGTGAAGGAGCTAGTGATAGTTAAATGATCTGATTGTGAGCATCCCTCCATTAAACTCAATTTTTTTTTGCTTTTTCAATCGGTAACAGAAGTTGAAAATTAAGTCCACAAAGTCTAATTTGATCTTCTCAGACGGATTTGAATGATTGCAAAAGGAAAATATGGCACAAAAAGCTACACGGGAAGTTTTTCTCGTGTCAATATTAAAATCGGCAGCTCTATATTTTGACTATTTCGGGGTAAAATTTGGGCTCCAGATTCGTGTTTTTGGAATTTCGACTCCCAGCCCGGCTTTAGCTTCGCATTTTTCGATTTTCGGCTCCAGCTCCCACCATGGCTCCGCGTTTTTCAAAGTTCTGCATTGTATAACTGCGACGATGACCATCTGGCGTTGTAAACGGTGTTCTTTCCAGTGTTATTCTGGTTGTGTTTGCAAAATTTCTTCATGTTGATCCTTTCGGTGAATTGGCTTCTGATACGAGCGTATTTGAGGAATGAGTGATAAATGATAGTATTTTTATGTTCTATATCATTTCAAAGTGCAGATAGACGAGAAGTGGACACAGACACAGCGGAAGGACAAATTCGTGTGAGTAGTTACCTGGATACGGTGATGCTACCTTGCTTCACTTTCATGCGCGTCATCGGTCTTTATCACGCTTCTTCAGTGAATGCGTTAAATGCTTCATTGATTGTCTATTCGCTGCTGGTGATCGCCATTCAAGTTCGTCATTCAGTCTTTTGCAGAGGAACACGACGCTTCTCGTCGTTCATTCTCATTACCCATTCCGTTCTGATTATAGTTGGATATTGCATGGGTAGTAATAGCAGTCTAGCGATTATAACGGTGATTATAACAAAGACAGTAAACGGCTTGCTTGTTCTTGCCTCCTCGTAAATTTCGAAAACAAAACTTTCTCGATCTGATTAGTGAAATTCATTCTTCGCACAAAACATTGATTTCGCGATATAATTAAGAAAAGAATGGGCCATTGATGAATGCGGTACGATATCGTATAATATGATTGTTATTCATCTTAACTGAAGAATACGATTTCAGTGCATCGTTTCGTACAGAAGGATCACATTTTTAAAATTCAGTGAACTCAACGTTCATACAGCTTCAACAGTCATTATTGTTATATTCAGTTGCAGGTTAATTGCCAATCTGTAGTTGTTTCTTCTAATTTTTTGCTCATCACAAAATTCAATTATGCCGCAAAAGTGATCATAAAATTGAATCGGAATACTGCTGGCATTTAGACGTTAAATTTTGATGTATAGCTAGTCATGGAAACAATTCCGAAGAATGACATTCGTATTAAAGTCATTCTTCGTCAATCCGGGAATCTGTTTTGATCGCTGTAATATTCAGCGCACTAGTAATGAAATGGATGTTGTGCTGCACGGAAATGATCTATCTTTGTAGAATAACAAACGGGAACCGCTTGAATTCAGTTATGCTACTAACATGTAGTCAGAGTTTGAAATCTCTAAAGACCAATTTCGAATTTTCGATGGAAGAAGGTGTTTCTGCAAGCATTTTGGAGAATTTTATTCATCAGCTGACAATCTAAACTATGCGAAATTTTTATGTGGACAGATCCATTTGAGTTTTAGAGTACTTCTAAAACAGACGGAGCTCGAATGAGTGGAAATATTATTTTTCGGTTGAATATGAGCTGAAATTTCAGCGGTTTGATCGCATCGATGTATCTTTTTCGATTGGGAACGCGTTTACGAGAATTGCACTGCACAGTGATGCGAGAGGTAGTGCAGTACGATCGTGACTCGATCGGTATTCGAATGACACGCTTAATATCAGTCTTATTGGTTCTTTTCATTGTTGTCATATCCTCATTGATCGTTGCATCTCATGCAGGCAAGTGTTTTATGATCGTTTATTATTTATTATAAGCATATTACGTAATAATTATTAATATTATCATTTTAGAATGATATTATTATCATTACATAATACTCATCATATGGTAATAATTATTATCACTATTGTTATTTTTATTAATTATTATCGCAGCCATCGAATTTCGATGGCTTCGATAAAACGTTTGGTTACGAGCCACCGAGTGAAAAAATCTGGCGATTGTCAGCTTTAAAATGCACTTTTGACAAGGGCG